TGGGCTTTTTACTGTCTGATTTCTTTATGCTCATGGTCGAGGAAGGGATGTCCACGGAGATAGACCAGATGCCATAATACAGGCGCTATGTTGATGTTATTTTGTTTTTCTGGCCATCAGAGCGGCATATCACTCGGGTCGGTTAAGCGAATCAACAATGCACATATCAACTTTCGCGTCACACCTACGACCTAGAACGAGAAAATTATCTTCCATTCTTTGATTTTCTCATCAGTCACAACGGGCAGGTTAGGAGATCAGTCTACCGAAAGGCAATAATGGTTCAGCCAGTACCTGCATTTCACACGCTTTACACCAATGCGGTGCAAGCGGACACTTGTGAAGACCTTATCTAATTGTGCCAGATGACTATGCTCGACAGGCTGTCTAGCCAGTGATTTGGAACGAAGTACAGCCGCACTGATGTCAAACGGTTACCCTCTAAGGTTTATGGAGAAGCACACTCAACGACGGAGACCAAAGGACTTGGTACAGGAGGCAGCCAAGCAGAAAGTTTATATTGAATTTTAAGGCATTCCTGGTACTCACGAATTGAATTGAATTGCCTTTCAATAGTGATTTGGACACGGTAAGCACCACTAAGCGCTTGATCGCTGCTGCGCATAGGTCCTACTGTGCTGTTCAAGTCGTCATCACCAACCGAACTAGCAAGATGCCAGTAACTCATCCGAAGGAAGCTCTATCAATCAGCGCCAGCTCTCATTGTGTATACCAATTCACATGTAACTGCGATCCTGTTTCATTGGCCGAACCAATAGAGCCTCGTCTTTCCGGATAAACGAATGGGCGCCGAAGTGGATCCTGCGTGGGATAAACAAAAAATCTTACCCTCCCCAATGCCTGCTATTGCGTAAGCCACTGGCGTCTTTGATGGGTCAACACCTATTGAATACTGGTCACCAGATACGGTTCGACACCTCATTCAAAATTTTGCTGCTGCACTAATCCGCGATTTTCGGTTTGCTGAAGCTATTGTGATTAGTCGAATGCAGCCGATGCTATGCGTGCACAAGCTGTTAGTCGTCAGTCTCAATCTTCTGTGGACATAAAGACCCATTCGTGGTCATCCATTTTGACCCCTAACTTTGTTTCTTTGTTTGGTCACATCCACCGCCTATTGTTTCTCATCGTTTATTGTTATTGGTACTGGAGGGACAATACGAATTGCATGCGTCTACCAACTGTCGTCCTCTTACTGTACTTTTTACATTGTGGTAATATTCAGGAATGTAGTTGCACCATTTACGTATTGTACAGGATTGTCAACTTTACATGCAACATGCATGCAACTTTTGTATTTATTTTCCTTTTTCATTTATGTATTGCGGCACAGTAGCTGAGGTGTTTCCCACCTCTAGCTGACGTGTAAATGTAAATGACTAAGCTACTGGCCTCCATACTGCTTCACGACGGAACATAGAATTCGTATGGGTGGATAGCATACAGATTTCGACCGGGTTTCGATTGTATGAGCCATAATTTCATTTTATCTCAGGTGTTAGAGCAGCGCTAGATGCCATTATGTGACTAATAGCTTTCTTCTCCGATTCCCTGAACTCATTCGTCTCATACATCCACTCCATTCCGTTCTACACTCTCACCCGTTATGCTGCCCTCATCCGATATGTGAACTTTTTATTCATCCATACCCTTGAATCCTGAGAATATGCAGCGAGTAGCAGTGCCTCTATGCAGCTGCATCTAATATTTTTCAAGTAAATCAACCTATTATGATGGTTTTTGGTGGATTCTTTGACAAACTGTTAAACGCTTCGCTGACACGACTGCCCAATGCACCTTTTGTGGGCAGTTTCATTGGGGACCTCATCCCGAAATCTTTCTTTGTGAAGTTTCACGAATCAGATTTCTGGGCCCATAGCACGCGTGACAGGTGCAACTATACGAATCTGAGTAGTTTCCATTGCGTACTCTGGTGATGAGAAGAATCGTTGTCTTTGGTCACCATGTTTATAGGGACACCAATCATATCTGCTGTGCGGTTGCTGTGTATATAAAACGGGGGTCTACATACCACTGCGCCACGCCGTTCTGATGTTCCCACAGTGTTTCTGCTAATTGGCCTACTGTTCTAACGCGTCTTTCCTCGGCGTGCACTTTCAGCTGTCACCCCATAGTTATCAAGGCCTGAGCTGAAGACGTACGTCATGAAATTGATAGAAAAGATGAATATTGCTGATCTATCGTTTTGCCGCGTGTGGTTCGCTGGATAAGCAGAATCTGTGTAGCGCGATCATATTCCATCTACTCCGATGCTTGAAACTTATTCCTCCAGTCCACTACAAGAAATGTGTCTGTGGAAAGAAAATTTTCATGTTATTACATGAAAATTTTCTTTTCATTTCCAATCGTTTGTTTTTCATTTTTCTGTGGTAGATTTTTATTACCGTGCTGACTAAGGGATCGACACCCGGGTCACGTACTTGAACTTTTGCGTCTTTATCATGCTCGTCTCATAAAACTCAGCTAGTGTTCACCTGCAATAAACCTAAGTCTCTATCACCCCATCCGTAGTACATGCAGTTGATTTAGCTGAGCTGTATTCTCCATTCTAACCCTTTACAATTGCATGCCACTGATGTTGGCAATGAGAATGCTTTTCTTCCGCCTCACTCGGCAAACGTGGCTAATTAGTTAGATTGAATTTTTTAGAAGGTCTGCTGATGATATGATGAACCAGCAAGTTGTTAAAAATACCTACTTGGAATGGATAAATGTCAAGAGTATTCTTCCGAATCGTATAACAAAAGCTCGAGGTGCTTTTGCCAATCTCCGCCACCTGTGGCGCCGGCGTGACTTTACTCCCGCTCTGAAGGGCAAAGTTTACAACGCAGCGCTCTGTTCAACCCTTCTGTACGGTTGCAAAGCGTAACCCATGAAGTCAACAGACTTAAAGTGGCTTGTTACATTCGACCATCGCTGCCTTCGCAGTTCGTCGCATAGCTAGTGGGAGCACCGCGTGATCAATGAGCGTGTTCGGCGCCGCGTATTTGGTGCAGGAGAAGCGAGTGAACCGCTCAGCACCAATATATCATGCACCAAGCTCCGATAGTTGGGTCAAATGTTGCGCATGCCGACTCCCGCGATGTGTGTCGTTTACTCGACCGTAATGTCGGCCCGTAGCCTAGTGGCCTTGTCGTAATCTTGCGGCGCGGCTTCGAATCCGCGTAGGGGTGGGCGTCCTCGGGTGGTGGTCGCACGGCAGCGAAGCGCTCTTACGGCGTACAGCTGGCACATTATTATTTATTATGCAAGTGAAAGCAAGCGACGACTTGGTCAAGTGGAATGAAGGTCATCCTTTCGAACTTCGCGTCAGTTGGTGATTGCCGACTGGGGACCAAAGGACAACAAATACGTTTGGTGTTGGATACACTAACTGACATGGCGAAGAACTGACCTCAATGGAGTTTGTGTTGTGAGTCTCTTTGCTCTTCTCCTCCCCTTTAGCTTCCTCCTCTAACAACGGTCCCATAATGTGATTTTTAGCATTGTTGCTTTTTTTAGCTTTTGTACTCTGCATTGCTTAAGCTCTTATCTTTTTGTACTGCGGCACATTAGCCTAGGTGTGTTTCTCACCCTCGGCTAACGTGTATTGATGATAATGATGATGATGATGAGGGGTCACCTTCTCGCAACATTACACACTTCGTGACCTGTTTCGAACTTGCCTCGCACTCGTCAGGTAGATATGGCAAAACTGCGGCTCAGACCTTATCATCGGTTTCAGAGACAGTCGCAGTGGCCGAATAGACTACTTCATTCCATAGGGAATCGCGATCCAAATCGAGATTGCGTTTCGCAATCCGTTCACAACTCAATGGATCCAGAATGACTATTCTCCCAGCATGTTTGGGCTGTTGTACACCGTGTCTCTGAATGGGGCACAAAAGATCGACCAGATTAGTAGTAATGACCTCTTTAGACAACATAGCGCCGTTGGCTATCCGCAGATGCTTATATTTCGTCTATTTCTCCTACCCGCTAACCTTCATATCTAGAGAGTACATTTTTTTCCGTTTTGCATGTGTTCGGACTTCTTTCGTTTTTCTATTTATTGTTGTTTTTATGGCAATGGGGTCCATCGCCGTCCACTTTTCGAACTGCCTCAGATTAGCCAAATTGCGCAACCTGTAAAGTTCGAAGGAACTTCAATTTGTACACCGGATGGCTGATTTTCTCTTGATTACCCCTATCCCCACCTTTCCGAACTAGCAACACGCCTTTCGCACTTTAGGCCGTTCCATTCTCAACCTGGCATCATTTTTATTCGCTTCATTTGCTTGCATTTCATCCTTCAATGTCACATTACACTGTTATGACTATATGTTTCCGTCCACTGCCCATACGTCGCAAACCCTTCAACCACGATCCCCAGACCGGGCGTATACTCGAGGCTTATTGCTCAAAGTGGCATTGTTTATCTGCGTTCCGTGCTATGTAATTATATTTGATGTAGTTCCATTGTTACGCGATATATGATACTCCTCTTACTCTAAACCGAGTCTCTCGATGTGCCTTTTCCAGCGAGCAGCTGCAATTTAGAGCCAAGAAAGTTCAGCTGGCCCAGTCCATATTTTTTGTGCGCTGCGGCCAAAAGTACTGTGGCGGTATCGCTAGTTAGTCATTGCAGCGTCGGCAATCGTTCTGTCACGCCGTATGGGCAGTGGGTCATGACTAGTACATCCATGACGATCAGGGTACTCATTCTTTCTTGGTAATCGGATTACGAGGACTGGCATCTGACTGCTTCCGTGTGTCACCCTAGCTCATCTAGCCCAATACCATCTGGTATGTCCTGTACACTGTTCTTTGAGAAATAAGACCTGATAGCCTTATCATTTGAAGTGCTTTCCTTTCGGCTTTTGCGCATCTCAGTACACTCCCCTGGACTGGCGTCTTTGATGTGCATTGCCCTCTTGGCGTGCTACATTAAAAGTGTCCGCCTTTGTTTTCCTTTACAGGTTTCGTCTTTTACACATTCCATGAGTACTGGATGCAACGCACCAGGGACATCATGTTCTTCAACCATCATCGTGAAGAATTCCGAACTCGACTACTCAAGCGTCTGCGATGCACAGATTGTCGTCTGGGTTTGACTGGGTCCAATGGTGATGTCAGCTTCTTTGAACCTTGATCAACTTGTTCCGGATCAACTTATTCATTGCTTTTAAGCACTGAAGTTATGCGAACCAAACAACTTATATACTCTCCATTGTTTCACCAATTTTCTCTTCTACCATTCGTTGATCGTAGCCTTTAGCCCGGAGGAAGGTTTTTCATCTATGCGCTTGTTCTTCTTACTAGTTGGCTGTTGCCTTAGTTATACTAATCATTGTGTGGTGTGTATGGCAACAATAGAAAGGGGGCCGACTCATTGTCTGATTAACCTGAGTTTCATCTCGATTGATCATCGTAGTTTGGTCCGCACAATGAGGCATAATTGCTTGTTGGCATCGCCTGTACACCATTTTCTGTTAATGCCTCGTTACCATCCAACTACAAGCGCTAGGTTGCGGGTTGGGATACCACCAAGATACTCAAAGTTAGGCTGGAATGCGGACATTAACCCCACGAGTTTACAGATTAGACACTGCGTCGCAGATTCGAACTGGGCAATGTGCCCGGCTTCAGTGTTGATGAGGTATCCGGTTGATAATCGATATCACTCGAGGCGCCGGCGCGACATAGCTTTCTTCTTGAAAGCTAGAGTGTACAATGCAGCCGTACGTTAAACCCTACTGTAAGATTGTGAAATCTGTCTCATTAAATTGGCGGATGTAAACGGGTCAGTTATGTTCGACCAATAGTACCTTCCCAGTTTGGCTCATATCTGGTGTGATCACCGCGTGAGCAATCAACATGTTCGGCGCCTTGTTTATGGCACAGGAAGAGGAAGTGAACTGCTCAGCGCCGTTATTTCACGTTCCAGGCTCCGATAGCTGAGCCAAGTGTTGCGCATGCGATCACATCCGCTCCTGCGACTTGCGTTTTCGTTACCGAGGTCTGGACGGAAGGAGGCCAGTCGATGACATGATCAAGACAAGTGAAGACCCTTAGTTCGAACGTGGCCTCGGCTGGAGCCTCTTGGCTCCCTGGTTGGGATCCAAAAGACAATGAACACGTTTGGCTGAATACACTTGTTGACATAGCCGACCCCAGTGGCATTTGTGTTGTGAGTTTCTTCGTCCTTCTCCCTCCGACTGCCTTCTCATTTCGGACCTATAATATGTATTTTTGCGGCCCAATAAACCTCTGCCATCTCTCCGGAAAGATGTCCATCCGCTAATGGTGGTTCAGCTGTGGTGCGTCTTTTTTCCTTTTTCACGTATTACGTCACGGTAGCTGAGATATTTCCTACCTCCAGCTAACTTATGTATTAAAGAAATGAATGGATCAAGTTGTTTACAGTCTTCAATAAACTTATCTCTACCCTCAACCACGCCTTTGGGACTTTGTAATAGGTCGCACAAGTTCTTTACATGATGAAACAGCCTTGCAGACTTTCCGTGCGCGAGCTGTCTCATGTGTCACACATGTTCCCAGGTCACCCGTGATGTCTTTTCTTCAAGTGACGCTACTGGGATAAAGGTTTTGCTGGGTGGTTCATCATACACTTATGCCATACACTGATAGCATGGCCTTGCTCGGTACAAACCGTACGTTACATCCACAATTTCGTTGGCCTTATTCACCTTAGGTTTGTTATATTGTCATGTTCGGACGAACCGAATAGTGCTTTCCTTCGATTTTCTCCTGCACAGTACACGAGCGGGGTCTTCAACTTCGCCCGTTGCTGTTGTGATTGGAATATTGCGGATATTTCTCCCCACCTGTTTCTACAACTTATTTTTCATTTATTTAAATGAAACCATTTGAGGTCAGTAATGTTGTCTTACCCTGTTGACCATTTGATTTCGCACCGCAAAATTGTCCGAAAATCAGCTTTAGTCAAATATGGCCACCAAATCAAAATACTTTCAAAAGGATTGGAAAGAAAAATTTTTGGTTAAAGTAATACATCTTACTGGTTGGCAAGCTGGACTCAGCCGCTATCCTGCCAACAATGTACAAATTCCGCTTATCTTGTCCAGTAATATCTGATCGCTTCTCGAGAAAACTGATGATCTCGAGAGCTTTTTCAAACGAACTGAATTCTCGAACTCAGATATACTAATGTTACACGAAAGTTGGTTACATCTCCACATTGTTGTTGGAGTCTTGATACTCTATGGCTATCGACACATCAAATCCGACCCCACAGGCAAGCCTCACCACGACGGTTGGGGGCTTGTTCACGTACAGTAGCGAACATTTATGTACACCTCGGTTTCATAACGGTTCACTTACTCAACCGCTTCATAAGTTACCACCTATTGGAATGTAAACCGAATTTTATCGGTTGTTTTCTATCTATTGTAGTTGGGTACGTTTATGTGACGCCTAACGCAGCACTTCAGATAAAAGTGTCTGCAGTTCACCTTGCCTCTTAATTGCAACCGAATTTGGAATGTACCCTCTGCATCATCGCTGGTGACTTCAATAGGAGTGACACAGTCTTCAATAAAGTGCCGGGTCTAACCCACTTGGTGGAATTCTCCACCGGAGTCGACGCACATTCGGATTTAGTTTTTACTATCAAACAGCGAAATTGCTTGACGGTAAACATCACAAAGCTGAAATCGACGCTGTATACAACCGACTTCACAATTTTCGCCAATGAGGATCTCTCAGCTCATGGCTAGAACATGGCTAGGAGCCAATCTCAATGGTGTTTGTATTATGAGTTCCTCTGTCCCTCCTCTCCGCTTTGCCTCCCCTTCCAACCACGATCTCAATTTATAGGCGTTATTTGGCTTTTTGCGGCGTAATAGCCGGCTGTTAGCTCTCCGGAACGATGTCCATTCGTTACTGGTGACTCAGCCGGCGTGCTTCTGTTTCACCTTTTCCCCTTCCTTTTGTATTACGGCACCATAACTGAAGTGTTTTACACCTACGGCTAGCGTGTATAATGACGATGACCTTTGACAGATTTCCAATAGATGTTTAACGACTAGCACTATCCCCGACATGTGGAAAGCAGCCAGAATAACACCTGTGCTTAAGAATGAAGCACCGAAGTATCGGCGAATAGCGTGCATCTCTGTGATGCTGAAGGTGTCTGCGAAACTAGTAATTTCCCTAATCTTTAAAAGACTGCTATCAAGGAGTTTGCATACTAGTCACAGCGCTTTCCATTGGATTCCGTTTCGTATCTTGTGCATTCCATCGCATCTGCTTTGGATAAACCACGCAAGACTGTGCGGCTCCTGTTCCTTGATTATACTAATGCGTTTGGAAGCCTTGACAAGTTGTTGCTACTAAATCTTTTGTCCGAATATGACGTCCCACGTACGCATATAAGGTAATACTTGACTATTTTACGTATCGCACACACCACGCAGTTATGTAGTAGAAGAACTTCCACAATCCCAGCGAATTGTGAGATCTTACAAGGATCTACCCTATCCCCCTTTCTCTTTTCCCTCTATGTTGAGTGTCTGCTTATTCCGACCACTTTCATCGGGTGTAACTACGTTGACGATGTCGTCCTAGGGTGTACAACCCCAATAATTGAGGAATCTTCGAAACTCCAACGGGGATTGATCAAGCTCCCGCTCCCTCTCCTTTAACCCCTCTAAGTGTTGTGATATCCCATTCGCTTTTCTCCGCCCTGACAGATTGCGTACTTTTTAAACGCCTCTCCTTTTTTCGTGGGTGACCAAAGCATCCCTTGTTAATATTCCTGGTCGGCACATATTCTTGCAACTTTTCAAAAAGTTAACAACTTTCCTTATATTCCCTTAGGTTCAGAATGCTCTCCGTACCACGTGCTCTATTTCTAAGGTTTGTAAATGCATGTATTCTTCCCCATTGGTTGTACTATTCCCCTGTTATTTTCCCCGGATTTCTTCAAAAGCATTATACTTTTATTGTGCGCTCAATAACATTTTTTCCCATTGCTCTGGATTACGCAGAGAATTCCTCTTTGCTTTTGTGGTTATCAAGCATTTTACTCATGTTCTAACTTCTCATCAAAGTTACTAAACGACTCCTCTTACCCCCTACACACTGTGTTAGTAGGTACGACATCCATTTCTTTCACGCGGTCGAAATTTAAAGTTGTATCATCACGTATCTCTTCGTATCACAACGCCATAGTCGATCCAAAAGTGATTATGCAACAATTGTGAGAACGTTCGCTCATTTGAAATGGAGCTCATTTTGTTATCCGTGTCATTTCACATCATTTTCTCACCGGTTCCATTTTGTAGTATGTCCGCAGTATCAGTGTCAATTGCTCCCACACGGGTGTACAAAACTTGACTTGGTATTGGTCTTACGGTACCAATGATCCCAGCCGCTAGGTGGAAAACCGAAGACTACATCCACTGAAAATATTCCAACAACCGAGCGATAACGCCATTCGTAAGGCCTAACCCACGACTGAGCTATGGATTAGAGACAATAATCGGCAAGTGTGCTTTTACTGACCCAAACCAAAGGCGTACACCACGTTTTGCAATCAAGTGTGTGGCACAGCTTGATTCAACCGCTTTCGCTATGTTTGGTCCGGTTAGGGTGCACATTAGTATTGCGTTGGTATCTCCCTGCCTAATTTTGACTTCCCGTGATGCGTTTGCATGAGATTTGGTGCATGTGCTTACCTTTGTGCGTAGGCTAGTAAAGCCACAGATATTTCGACACATACCACTTCCATTTCTGAAGATGCTGACGTGCCATCGCTGCCCGAAGCGGCCACGTTGAAAACCTTTTTCCAGCACCTTATGTATAGATAGGGAATCATTAAAAGCCCTAGAAATCAGAGAAATATACATTTATTGTACAAAGAAAACCCGACCTAACACAGCAGCCGCGTGGCACTGTCCGGTTGTTCAAGCCGAACTAAAAATTTGACTTAGGGGACATCACCCAGAGCCTTTGACTGAGAGCCTACCCAGCTAGGTAGCTGAGCGAAGTCAGAGAATCACACTCATTGGGAGCAGGTGACCGATTTTTCAGTCCATACGCTTTTGATTTGGCGAGTTGCTACACGGGGTCCAGTGCACCGTGCGTCCATATTCTGGAATACACTGGTATCAGAAGTGTGTCAGTACCGTATGCCACTAGCTATACGCCGACATGGACGCTCAAGCCTATGCAAGATTACAGACTAGTGCGCGGGATGTCGAAGTTGCGGACCGAACAACTTAACCTCTGCACCACGAAGAACACCCTTGTAGTGAGGCACCAAGCGAGTGATATGTTGCATCATGTTCTACTCTGCTTTTTTAGTAGCACAGTCTCACTTGAGATGAGACAATCTGCATTATTGCATG